TCGTTCGTATTCTGTATGGCGTTTACACGCAATGACATGCGCGACTTCTGTTTGTGCTTACGCACTAACAAGGGGCCAAGCCTCTTTTACTGGTTCGCCAGTTATTTTGCTGTGGACTACGGTCCAGTTCCCGAATTAGCTTTCCCTCCGGGGGGAGTACATCAAAATGGTTGGCGCTCACCGTGTTAGGTCAAAAAGTAGAGTTTTAATTTTAAGCAAATTTGAACTCTCTATAAAATTGGGTCACTAAGTCAATGATTCAATGAACTTGAATCCTTGAACATTAAAAAGCGACGTTGCCACGCAGTGCAAACTATTGGTATTGCGACATATCGACAGCGGTGTCTTTTGTCGGCGTCCATAAACAAGCGGCACGAGGCACGCGGCGTACTTCAAAGGCGACAGCACAAGTGCGCGCGCGCCTTTGTCGTAGAGTAGGACAGCAGTTATCGACGATTAGCTTCTTTCAAAGGGAGTAATAAACGATAAACAAAAAAATATTTAGCTTTAAACACTTAGGGTATGGTTTTTTTAGAATAATCGTGTTGTTATGATAATTCTAAAAACACTACGACCTAAGTATTTAAAGCCAAACTTTAAAGCTTTTTTGTTTAAGTGTGTTCTTGTAGTTTTAGAGATAATAAATTATTTTAACATGCTAAAAAACCCATAAAAACAACCAATTAAAAAGTCATACATACTTACCCGTTTCCCAGGAAGTTACAAATCGGTAGTTTCGTAAGTTCAATTGTATAAAAATAAACTTTTTTTTAACAATCAATAACTTGTCGATTGTTATCAAATCAAAAATCAAAATTACTTGTATTCAAATATAGTAGGTAAGTAAGTGTAAAAAGAAAAGTATCGATAAACGATAATTGCACCTTGTGGCCGCCCTATTTATTACTTTTATTATTTTCGCCATTTTGGAATTTTCCAGTTCACGCGCAATTCTCCCAGAATACAGGTGTGTTTCGCTGCCTACACGCATCGCAATTATTTATCGTAAGATAATTATCGTATTATCGTAAGATAAATACAAATAGTCGAACAATTCTTTTACGGTGAAATAGACACTTATTAGTTAATTGACTTTGTGTGTGTAAATAGTGTTTTTAAGTACGTTTATTTTTATTATTTTTTCACTGTGATATTGACACTACTTGACTTTTGTGTATACGTTTTGGCGGCGGAAAATGCCAAGACAACAGCATTTTTACAGTGCGTCAGAGTATACAGACATGGTTTTATTGTATGGCGAATGCCACCAAAATTCAGCGTTAATTCTGCGTACTTATAGTGAGAGTCTTAGACCATTTCGATCGGAATCCAACCTGCAGCCTTAGACAAGCTGGGCGTGTGTTTAGAGTGAGGCATAAAACAATACACCGAGTGCTGAAAAGGAACAAACTACGTCTTTATAAATATGTTAAGGTGCAGGCGTTGCTGCCCCGCGATAATCCGATCTTACTGCCACTGGGTACTGGAAAAAATGTCTTAAGACCAACGTTTCCTAACAAATATGTTTTGGACAGATGAAAGCACGTTTACTCGAAACGGCATATGGAACCGACAATCCATGCGTTACTGGAGCCATACGAATCCCCATTTATTTAGGGAATCAGCTCATCAATACCGATTTTCCATTAATGTTTGGGCAGGCATGCACGGAGATCAAATAATCGGCCCTATTTTTATTGACGGAAACCTGAATGCACAGAAATTTCTCAATATTCTTAACGGCCCAATAACAGAATATTTAGAAGGATTGTCTGTGGCAGCTTACCAAAGGGTATATATATATATATATATATATATATATATATATATATATATATATATATATATATATATATATATATATAATATATATATATATATTTAATATCATACATATTTATTATTATGAGAGGGGGGAAGCGTTACAATATGAATGTTCGTCAATTTTCGAAAATTTCACTCCACTACTTATGGAAGCTAATAATTCCTCAATCCTGGGCAGAGATTAATAGTCCCGTTTTAGTTTAGGGTTAATAGTTATTTTATGATCCCCACATATTCGTATATACTCCTTGACAACTGGTACTATCGGCGTGCCATATTCGGAATGATCGACGCGATATATTGTGCCCTCTCGCTCGAGACGCATGAGCTCTTGTTCGACCCGCGCGCGCAACGCGAGAGGTACGGGCCTCGCGCGAACATACACGGGTTCATTATCCATCAGCTCTAATTGAATAGTTTTTTTACAAGTACCCAGTTTATCAGAAAACAATCCTCCGGAAACTCAGTCAATAATTGACTTATAAATGCATCATCAAAAATTTTATTAAAGTTAATTTGCTTTATATTTAGAGCGCGAATCCATTCTCGACCAAACAAAGGACGGCCACCGTTTTTAATAACGTAAATTTTTTGCTCGAGTCTCACCCAGTTGTACATCGACATAAATGTAACCTAGCGATTCGATACGGGAGCCTGAGTAGCAACGTAAAATTAGGTTATCGACATTTAATGATTTATTTAAAAAGTACCGTTTATAAAAATCTGCACTGATAGCCGAAATACGGCTGCCCGTATCGATCTCACACTCTAGACGTTATTAATCATAATGAAATATGGTTTGGTACCTTTAGTCGACAACTTAATGTTATAGAAGTCCTCGGCTTCATCCGTATGCACCTAGTTCACAAAATTTGGTCGACCACACGATCGAGCTTCGGTACGTAGCCCCCTACGCACTTCACTAAACACCTTTTTACACATTACTTTAAGGTGGGCCCATCGGCCGCACTGATCACAATTATATTGCACAAACCGACACCGACACCGTGCGCCTGCTCGCTGCGCGCTCGCCCGGTGCAAGCCCTCGCTCACCTCGCCGCCCAAACCTGAGGCCGAGGTAGACGCCGTCGCTGTTGTGGCGCTGCTCACCTCCGCGTGCTTTTCTGCAGCCTCAGGTGCTAGAGCCATCTCGACCGCCTCCTTGTATTTAATATTTTTCTCGGCAAATATACGCGATCGCATCGCTTCACTCGCTAGGCCGGACAGGAATTGATCTCGTAGGAAGCACCAGCAAGAAACAGCATAACTACTTATTAAAATAGGTATAATTTACATTAAATATTTATAATATGATTGTTATGAAAACATTTAGAAACAGCAAGGTAGCGATCACCTCACTCCGAGGGGTTATTTATTATGTACCGTGTACTCTTTAGTCTTATTATTTTACTTTTGAAGCCTACTGATGACATGATGATTTTTGGCACTTTTTCTGAACAGATCAATAATTTGGAATTATCATTAGTGACAAAATTAAGTGAACTCTCCATAGAGCATCTATCCTCGATTAAAAATCAAAATGCACTATGCCAAACGTCACCCGTGTCCAATGTCACACAGGACTAAGATAGAATGCCTCCATTCCAGTGAAAATGGTCTCTCGTTCTACACTCACCATACAAAACGCAGCAGGATTAAGCTGCCATTTTACGCTGGTATTCTGTGAGAGCGTGGTTTTACCCCGGGCATATTCTTGTTATCCATAACATAGCTGTAGCATGGTTTTGCCACGTAACACTAAACCAATTTATAAAATTAATTAATTTGTATTTTTCTACCTAATTTCTTTAGATTTTTATCAACTCAGGCAAATATCGTTAATATATTATATATTTGAAAATAAGAAAATAATTTCATATTTTGCAATCAGTCCCCTTTAGTATAAATTCGTATCGCTATCGTATCGAATTCGAGAGTTTCGGTATTACAAAACATAGTTCCGTTTACATTTGTCAGAAATGCTGTTCATTTTTCCATACAACTTAAGTCGATGACATTAAATGCACTTGGAACACAGATAAAGGTCTTTAATTCTACGACTTAGACAAACGTAGCAAATGTTTTTGCCGGATATACTTTTTACAAATAAGCAAAGCACTTTAACCTTTAAATGCCTTTGGTGAGACTGACACAACTGGCGAGCGGGTTTGCAATCGCAGTTTTTTTTATTTTTAGTCGTTATTAGAAAGACGCTTCTGCCCATCTCCTGATTACCTGTTCCCTTTGTCGCCTCCTACGACACACACGGGACGATATGAGGTAGTTGATATTCTTAAACTGGCACACAAAAAATTTAAAATAAGGTGAAAGTAACGTAACATATACGTCCCCTGCTGGAGGGCCTTCTCTCAGCAAGTATTTTTGTGATCTATATTAAATAAAAATTATTCTATTCTAGTGTCTGACAGGGTTGTAGGGCAAGGAAGATTCCATCGCGCTGTCTTATTGAATGCGGCAGGTTTAAATTATCAGACCTGCAGATTATCTTACGATGTTTTCCTTTACCGTCGGGCTCAACGTGAATCAGTACTTAAATTGCAACAAAGTTCAAGTTACAACTACACAACGAGGGCTAATAATTTATCGCTCAACAGATGTCGCTAGTTGGCACCGAGGTTAACTTATTTGTTAAACAATGTTAATACAAGTGAGAAGTGGTGCTTTAAATAATAAGTTTAGCGTTTTATAGAGTAGGTATGTAAATACACAAAACAATGCCTCAGTGGTTTGCTATTTAATTTTTTTGCTGATTTTGAATCTCTTAAATTTTTCTACTTTTAGGAGTATCCGTAGTTTAGTTTATCAATTTCTAATCTTATTAGTGTAAAATAATACGAATATTTCAGTAAGAAACATTAACTCTTATATATTCCTAACAAAAATAACTTCTACCGCGATTAAATTATCAGATATTTCACCTCAATTCACAGTGGCGCCGCCCTAGAGGCAAAAAAAATCGTGGATGCCCGGATGTCATTAACGAAAAGATATAAGTTTAATATTTTGCAAAGGTATTTATTTGGCAATCAAATATAAAAGGTATGAGTAAATTAAAGTACATACAATTTAATATAATATCACTTTTTATATCCTTGAAACTAAATAAAAATTTACCAGTTTCTTGTTACTTCATGCATGAGTCTTGCATTGTGTATTCAAATGTCCCTCCGTACGATATTCAAATAAATTCCGCCTTCGGCAGCCATGAGGAATCGTCGAGGAATGAACCTCAGAGCCGGCATGGTTCTTTTTGAGGGTTCAACTCGAAACTTCGAAAATAATTTTGCTAAGCAAACATATAATTGTAATTTAGCAAACCGCATACCTGTGTAACAAAAAAAATATCAAGGTTATAAACGTTAAGGCACGATTACATCAAAGTTTTATATTTTATTATATTATTATATGATGAGGTTGACAGACTGTTGCGGACCACGCCCTCACAGAATACTGGCGTGAAATAGCAGCTTAATGCTGCTGTCTTTCGTATGGTTAATGTAGAGAACCGGAGACTATTTTAACTGGAAATGAGGCATTATGCCTTAGTCATCAGAGGTGACAACGCATCTGCATTTTGATACTTAAACGAAGATAGATGTAGATATCTATGGGATGCAGGACCCGCTTTCCATCAGAATGACTATTCGCTATTTTATAACCCTTAATCTACAATAAAATTGTACAGCACAAAAATTGTAAATTCAAAAAAAATGGGGAACATTCCAGCAGTACACGTAATGAACTGCAGATGAATTTGTTTCCACCGGCAATGCTGTTTGTAACTTTTGTAAGTGCACAGTGGTCGTTAACATGGTAGAGCAGGAAACGTATAACTTGTGTCATATTAGGGAGTTTTCTTAAAAAAAAAGAAAAGCAAAACTGCACGGTTGATTAAAAGAAGCCTAATGGTGAGGTGTAAACCGCGAACTCAAAATGGTCGTTAGTTCGAATCCGCCATTTGGAAACTGTCGTGAACCACTCCAAACACATTTTTTGCTTACCACGAATGGTTAAAGGGAATAATAGTAATGTTACTGGCATTGCAAAATTTTTCATTAAAGAAAAAAAAGAAGTGAAGAGTAGGGCCTACATTGAAAACTGGGTGCACGAACAGCGAAAACGTGTGTGCTGACGCGACTCCATTATTCTAAGTTTTGCACAGAAATTTGTGACAAACATTGTACAGACTTTCGTTATTATGTCGTATCAAGACGTTGGTCCCATTGTATCTCATAACTAAACAACACGAAAAAATATAAAATAACTAAATTATACACCATTTAAGCAACACTTGACTACTGGGTTCACAACTTGACAAATTGGTTCAGAGATAATGCTTTTATATTCAGCAATGATACACGTTTTAACGTTAGTTTTAGATACCAATAGTTTTCTCTCGTTTGCGCACATCTTATAAATGCTTACTTAAGTGAGACCACTGAAAAAACATTTATGTCGCACACACACACCACAGTGCATGACACTTGTGAATCGCACATTTACAAGACCAAAATAGATACTTATTAAATACAAATATTTTTTTTGCAACTAGACAGAATGATGTAAGATCTAAAAACTTACCAATACAGTTCCGAGAACCGGTTCCGAATGGTAAATTTTGCATATTTACCAATAATGCAAATAATTTTTAAAACTAGACAGAATAATGTAAGATCTAAAAACTTACCAATACAGTTCCGAGAACCGGTTCCGAATGGTAAATTTTGCATATTTACCAATAATGCAAATAATTTTTAAAACTAGACAGAATAATGTAAGATCTAAAAACTTACCTATACAGTTCCGGGGACCGGTTCCGAACGGTAGATATGCACAAGTATGGCGTCCACTTGAATTTTCAGAAGAAAATCTTTCGGGGTCAAATTTTTCCGGGTTCGGGTAATATTTTTCATCGTGCTGGATGCCTAAAGGTGATATGAGTACCATTTGACCCTTTTTCACCATCACATCCATCCCAGGGATCTTGTAATCCCTTTGTGCCTTTCTTTGTAATGGCTCAACTAAGGGATAAAATCTAAGAGTCTCATAGAAAACTTTTTCCATATATTTCAAATCGTTGAGAGCTTCGAATGATAGCTTGCCATCGTATTTTTCGAGTACTTGATCTACTTCAGCGATCACTTTAATTTGAATGTCGGGATTTTTTGCTAACGCATACAACATGAAAGCCATTGTAGTGGCACTCGTTTCGTACCCAGCTGCATAAAATACAAACGCCTGTGCAGCGATTATATCATCTGTTAATTCTAAAGTAATTTCATTTTCGTCTTCGCTTCTCTTCGGTCCTTGGATTTTACGTTCTTGCCTCAATCCCAAAATCAAGTCCATAAAATCTTTTCTATCTGTTGGCTTACCATTCCTCTGTTCTATAACGGTTTTAACAAGTTGCTCAAAGAAATCTGGCACATCCTTGGGGAAAGGGTTGATTTCTAATTTTCTCAAAATTCCGGGGTACATCATGTCAATCTCATCAATAAACGTCGGTGCGAACACAATGTTATCGATCTTTTTGAATATGGAACTATTAGTATCACTAATTGTGTCGACTTTCAAACCAAATGCACATTCCGAGATTGTCGCTATTGTGTATTTCTGAACTAACGAGTGCACTTCATGTTCCTGTTGCTTCTGACAAATATCACTGACAAGCTCGATGAACTTATCTCCGAGCTGGCTTAGTAAATAAACCATATACTTAAGTTTTCCGGAGGTGAAAATTGGTGTGAATCGATTCCTCAAGACACGCCACATAACACTGTCAGCATGGAATAAATTATTTCCCAAGCCTTTTTCGCCGAACGAAACTCCTCGATCGGAGAAGTAGTCGAAATCCTTTATCAGAACATGCTTGATCACATCAAGGTCGCGAAGCAATAAGCATGGAGTTGTCATCCTGAACACTCCAACTACCTTCTCATTAGGATATGCGTCGTAGATCTCTTTGAAAAGCACTCCAATATTCTTTCTCCTAAAAGCAGAGTCTTGTAAATTGCCAAAAAGTGGAACGGGTTTTGGACCTACTACATTTCTTGATTTCCAATAATTAAATGTTCTTGTCAAATAGTAGTACCAAAAGTAACATATACTTGCTAACGCAATCAAAATATATATTGTTAGCATTTTAAAGGCAAATTTGGTACGAACTTTGAATCGGAATGAATGAATTTGTATTGCGCTTCGTTTATATAGCGCTGTGACGTTTTGATAATAAGTCTGCTTTAATTTATATTATATCAAATTATTATCTTATTTTTTCGTTATTTGTTAAGGATATTATGCCGAACGGATATTTCCGCCCCTAGTCTTAGCAGATAATGCCCTAATCTTAATGACACATAGTTTTATGTAGCGTTGTGGTGTTTTGATAATAAGCCTGATTTATTTAATCTTATATTTAATTACTATATGCATTGAATAATTTCATTCCTTCGCAGAATGTGTTAATTGGCATGCAACTTTAAAGATTTGCTCACACTTAACACCCTGTGGTGTTTTCTTTTAATACAAATTAGTGTGGGTCTTTTTTTTAACACAACTCACTTGACGGTAAGTGGGTGCTTTGGCCCAAAGATAAATACATATATCCTCAATTATGAATCAAAATGCAGTTGCATTGTCACCCGGGAGAAATGAGATGCAATGGCTCCTTTCTATTAAAAAGGGACTCCAGTTCTCTATACTCGCCATACAAAACACAGCGGCATTAAACTTCTTTTTTTACGCTGGAATTCTGTAATAGCGTTTCCTTCTCCGGTCGACCCGATCTATTCCGTCTACAACCATATGGAATAGCTGCAGCGTTGCCCTACCACGTACATTAATAAGTTTTCTTTATTTCTTTTTCTTTAGTCTTATGTATGTAAAGAGAACAAAAATTGTAATACCTATACTTAATTTCGGAGTGAAATACGAGATCTGTTCAAAAAGTATCCCGAATTTTGAATTTCCGCGGGCTACGTATACTTGATTTTTGATTTTTTTGTAACCTTATGTTAGTACTCGTAATCTTACTTATTGCATGGATATTTTGCATGGATGTGTTTTGGCTCGTCTTCGATTTTCGGCTATTCCGAAAAATGGATCAAATAATCTGTATTAAATTTCGTGTGAAAAAACAATATAAAGTGCGCGGACGCATGACATGAAAGTTGACTGTGGCATATGGTGAAGCTACCTTGGACCAAAACAACGTTTATCGGTGGTACAAAATGTTCTCAGAGGGCCGAGAAGATGTCAACGACGAACAGCGTGTCGGACGCTCGAGCACGTCAACGACAGACGATAACATTGATAAAGTGAAGAAAATATTATTGGCCAATCGTCGAATCACCATTAGAGAAGTTGCTGAGGACCTAAATATATCGATGGGCTGGTGCCATTCGATTGTAAGTAATGATTTGAGCATGAGCCGGGTCGCCGTGAAATTCGTGCCAAAATTGCTCAATTTCGACCAAAAACAGCACCGTGACAACCTATATGTCTCCAGAGGGTCATAAATGGTGACGAATTATGCGTTTATGGTTATGACGTGAAAACTAAATGGAAGCTGCCGCATGAGCCAAGACCGAAAAAAGCGTGTGCGTGAAAAAAAGTGTGAAAGTGGTGCATCATGATTTCTTGCTACAGGGTAGTACGGTCAATAAGGAATATTATCTGCAAGGTATGCGCAATTTGCGTGAAGCAATCTGCCAGAAATGCCCGGATTTGTGGAAGAACAAAAACTGGCTTTTGCAACATGATAACGCCCTTGCTCACACATCGTTGGTTGTGCGCGAATATTTATCCAAAAACAACACAGTAATGGTTCCACAGCCACCATATTCCCCAGACCTGGCCCCCTGTGACCTTTTCCAGTTCTCGAAACTGAGGCCCATGAAAGGTCGACGCTACGCCACGATTGAGGAGATTAAGACGGCATCGAAGGAGGAGCTGAGGAATATCACGAGAAATGATTTTTTAAGTGCTTCGAGGATTGGAAAAAACGTTGACACAAGTGAATTATATCCAAGGGGGATTACTTTGAAGGATACAAAATAGATATTCATGAATAAATAAATACTGTTGCGTGAATAAGTCAACTAGCGCCATCTAGTGTCAGGAACGAGAGCGAGGGGAGCTTTGCAGTAAATGACATCACAAATCTTTCGACCGACAGCGCCACCCGAAGAACTAAGTTTCTGGAAAGTCTACACTCGAATACTCGTTGCCTGGCGCGCATTTACTTGAATGTTCGGGACGCTTCTTTGCTAATTATATAAATAGGCGCTGCAAGATGCGATCGAGGTAGAGTTGAACTCGGCGACACAAGCAGTGTTGATTTGGGCGAAACAAGCGAAGCTTCGGAGCGGAATTAAGTGAATTAGTGTGTTTAATTATTAGTGTTTTAAGTTTTAATTTGTGTACAGTAAATTAAAGTGTAATTTAGGTAATTTTATCGGCAATTTTTATTGTCACGAACCTCAAGCTCGTTACAATACTATTTGAAAAAATACAAAATTTGCGAAACTTTTTGAACAGACTGTGTAAAGTGAACTAAAGTGATTAATTATTAGCGTGTATTAGTTTTAATTGGTGTTCAGTAATTAAAGTGTCAATTTTGGTAATTCAATCGGCAGTTTTTAGTGTCACGAACCTTAAGCTCGTAACAATAGTTTACCTCTTCGTCTCAAACATGTTAGTTGACATTTTGGAGATAATTTTTCATATCAATAATGAGAAGATTGCGAATTATTTAATGAGTGTTGGAAACAAGCATATTTTAGTTTTCTGGTGTAACCCATACATAAAATATTATTTTTGAGGAGATAAGGAGTTATATGGTTAGTCCTGGGTATGTCAAAACAATACGTACGCATACACGCATTTTGAACCCTTTGTATTTTCCCAAGACCATATACCAAGTTGCAATAATGCAAATGTGACAAGACCAGACTGTTGCAAAGATAGAGCCGGATATTTGGTTTTAGATATTTTAAAGGCCCAAAACATTTTCCTATTTTTGTTGAACGTGTTGTACAAATGGTTAATCTTCATGACAGTTGGGTCAATTTTTTTTAATAGATGCAACCTGATGACGTGTACCCATAATTAAACAAGTATTTTTAGTATTCAGAAGTAACCCATTAGACTTTGACCAATGCTCTATTAATTTTAGATCGTTAATCTTTATTTAAGTTCGTTACCGCTGTTGTAATACTGTCGTTTGTTGGTGACATATAGACGTACAATTGAGTGTCATCGGCATATATGTTGCGCACGTCCTGGTAAAATTTAATAGCTCATTCGGATTTACATTTTTTAGCTTTCCGGCAAGCTTTGTTACGAATATTTCTCATTTTCATAAGAGTATTGGTCATTCATGGAGATGGGGATTTTTAAATTTACGTGTACATACCGGTGCAAAAGTATCTATTAGGTCTAAAATAAGAAAATCAAATAAGTTAAACATATCATTAAGGTCATTATACTCAAGTATGAGTTCCCAAGGAGTGAATGCATATGCTTTCTTAATATACTCGGCATTATCTGTCAGTGGTCTGTACTAAACGGTATGGGGTTTTATGTTAGGGACACTAATAGGAAATCTAGCTATTAATAGTCGATGGTCATCATTATGTACAACATCTACCGATATGGGCTGCAGATTAACTCTAGTAAATATGACATCAATAAGTTTCGAAGTACGCGGTTTTATACGAGTGGGTAAATTAACAATTTAATATAGCTTGTAAGAGTTAGTTAGAACTTCGTAACTCTTAGGTAGAGTTACATGATTGTTACGATCTATACAGTTTATATTAATACCATCAACAACGAATATATGCTCGTAATTAGACTATTAGATCCAAATATTGATAAAGATTCGTCAAGAGCATCGATTGCGATATCTTACAAACTAAGTTCGATATGCAATTCCAATTAATAAACTGTGTTGCTTAATTTTAATACCAATCCATAATTGTTCAAGTATGGACTCGGGGTTATTAAGTTGTTTTACACGTAAATTCGACCTCACATATACACCACCACTCGCCACAACGAGGCTTATGTATGAGATTATAGCTAGGAATAGCATAAATACCAGTATCAAAGTCATTTTTAGCCATATCTCTATTAGGCAGACGACATCAAAGTTGTCCAACCGAAATGAAGCTTCGAAATGGGCATCACGTACGGGGAACATCTTGTGCTAGTGGAGAACCTTTCTTACCCATCGGTTGTAGGTACTTCGAGCTATATGGCTGGCCCATTGCCACTTTGGTTTACTAATCCGTAATACGGATTAGTATACATGTCTATGAATTAACGTTTTTAAGTAAAACATATTTTAATTGCATGATAGACATAATTATTAGTAATAAAACTGAGCAGGAACAGAGGTGTTCTGATGTTCGTTAGAGCAATCCGGTGACGAAGTACCCAATTAAAAAGGCACGAATCGCGTCTGATGCACATAAACGGCGAGTCTTTCAGATTCCAATTTGTCGCCATACCGAGTACTAACCCCCTGCCTATGCCACACTACGTTGGGTTCGAATAACAACACAGTGGGCGTATCCCCCGAATATAAGTCTGAATCACGCACTGCCTGTCTCAAAAGAAAGGTGGTTGATGCCTAAGATTACGGGTCCAGCGTTCGATCCCGGTATAGATACCGGGATCGATGATCGACTGATGTCTACATCAGAATGTGTGGACTGTATATTAACTTTGCTTTCCCTAACTTATAGGGTTGACACTGGGAATGAAACAGCAATTACTTTTAACTGCTCTGAGAATATAACTTTCACTTGTTATTACTTCTCACTATTTCCGTTTTTCTTCCTTGCTTATAAAGTAAACTATAACTGGTTTCGAACAAATTGCAAATAAATCGCCTTACTAAAGTACTCCCGTAACTAAACCGTGAGGTGAACCATATGAAAAAAAGTCCAATTCGCGTGCAATTTTCGTTATTACATTTTATTTTCTTTTTATTTGGTCTACAAAACTAAACACAATAGACATTAACAAGTAATTTCAACATTATTTTAGAAAAATTAGGAAAAACATTAATTTTTAATCTGATAATATGCTATTATATATTACAAGGCGCTTCGCACTTAGCTATGAAATGAGTG